ATTGAGTAATTTCTCCCATGGCGAATTTGAGTGATTATTAGACTATGTTTCGTATTTCTCTTGATAAAAAAAATTATTTGAAAAAATGATATCAACATAGCTATGATTGACCTTTTTCGAATGTTAGAATAATGTGATGTTTATGTTTCTCAAGCTCAAAAGTGAAATGAGAAGAACACTTCATTTTTTCTCCAAATGATGAGGACATGCAAGAATTTGATGGAATTGTATGAATTATTTCTTGTAGTGAAATTTTCCATAAGTTTGATAGAATTGACGATGATAGTTAAATTCAATTAGATAACACTGATCATTTTATAATTTTGAGCCTTTACTTTATGCACTAACACTTTGGTTGTTTGAATAGTTAATATTTGAATGTCATTTTTTAGATTCAATGTTAAGATCATTTTAATTATTTAATCGCTTCTATGGTTAATATTATTATTTTTGGCATTAAAAGTCAATTGCTCGAATAGCTTACGCAATGCGCTACGCTATTTACGCTACGCAATATAAAGACAAAAACGCGACGCATTGCGCGATGCGCATTTTAAAACACTGGTTCAATTTGATGAAATCAGTCCACAAAATTAAATGTTCAGGTGTGTGTAATAAATAAATAAATAAATAAATAAATAGCTTAATATGGCGCAAATAAAGTATGACCAGTTATTATCAATCGCGTGCTACACCTATATATCTATTAATTAATTAATTAGGACTGCAATTTCACCTAAAATAATTACTACTACTCACTTAGTAACTAACAAACGTCATTAATTAATTAAATTTAATTATACCTTCGGCAGCCCTACCCTACTGAATTGAATTGTCAATTGTACCTACACAATATTGTTTGTTCAGTACTCACAGTGGGTACATGTTAATATGCTCACCGTTCAGTACTCACGGTGGACACATGTTAATATGTCCACCGCTTATGTGGCATGCACACATTAGTGATTTTAATATATTTAAAAAAAATACATCACCAATGTGTGCATGCCACATAAGTGGTGGACATATTAACATGTGTCCATCGTGAGTAGGTGAGATTGTTGTTATCCTTTTCCAAACATGAAGAAGTATGATAGACTAAATTTAAATATAAGGCTCGCTCGCTCGCTCGATGATTATCTGAAATGTGGTGGTGGTTTTAGAAAGCAGTCAAATATTGTTTTAGTTCAAAATGCGAATTAAGCTTGTAGAGAAATTATTATTATTATTATTATTATTATTATTATTTAATTATTGGAGTATTTGTTCCCTTGCATCTTCTTCTAACACAAAAAAGTCCAATTGGTTTGTGCATATATAGTTAACTTATATAGCATAGGTTTGACCCACCAATAACCAGTAAATCTTAGTTTCAGGGTGGTGTTGGGGCACATTCAATTTTCAGCATAACCTTGTGTTGATCGTACGAGAAATTAACTGTTAAAGTCTAATAAAGTTGGCGGCACGATTAGTGGAAATCATTTTATTATTTGCCTTGTAAAAAGTAATTGTAAGTGGACTATATATATATATATTTGACTTATTATTATTATTTTGTCTTGTGGAACGAATATTTGAAAATTTTTAATCACTTTACTTAAAGAAAATAATAAATTTGATGGAATATTCATTCACAAAAAATCTCTTCTAATTGTGATCGTCGGACTGAGTACATGAATGAATGAATATGTGGAAACTGTGATGTGAACGGGAGTTTGTTTCTTTTAAATTAAACTAAGACATCATCTTCTAATTGGAGGTTTGAAGAAAGAGTCAACGGAGGAATACTTTTTTTTTTTTTTTTAACACGAAAAAATGCACTCATATTTTGTTTTGGCTTTGTCATTTGTGGGAGGTTAATTAAGGAGCAAAGTCGCTTGAATTAGGTATATATAGTGAAAGTTACTGCAGTGCACCAACGAAAATGGGAGTGAAATTGTATGTATATTTTTGTCTATTATTACTTTTTGCTTAATCAACACTCTTTTTCCTTCAGTTCAAACTCCCCTCTAATGTGAGCATTAGGTAGAAAACCTCCAACCCCCTTCCTTGTTCGCTTTTCGAACTTTTGTCCAAGAAAAAGAAAACTACATCAAGTTTGTATTTTAATAGACTATGTACAACCTCTTTTACATAATGTACTTTCATATTTCTTTCCTATTCATTATAGGTATATGTATTTTGTAATATTTACACAAAGTGACCCAAGTATATAAGGGCACAATTGTATCTTGTACTTTCACTTTTTGGCAATTACAGAAACCCTAGTTTCCTTTCATCTCTCTCGCTTCTCTCTCTCGATGTATCTGCTTTACAACATTATTATGGTATCAGTCGCCGGCACATCGCCGATCCGTTAGATTTTCCATTTTCCGCTGCACTATTCTCGCCGTTTCATCTCAGGCGATATCTGTTTCTTCTCAGGCGAAACTCTCCCTCGCCGATTTCTCGTTTGATTCAATTTTTTTTTTTTTTTCTGATCGACACGATTTTAATCTAAATCTGTACGTTTCTCTCCGATCGGTACGGTTTCGATTTCAATTTGTGCGATTATCGAATAGATCTGTCTCCTTTGATCGATGGCAAACCCTAATCTGACCGATGACCCAACCTCGCCATACTTTCTGCATCCGAGCGACAATCCTGGCGCAATCATCGTTGCTGAGGTCTTTGACGGCACAAACTACGTATCCTGGTCTCGCGCAGTCACCATGGCCTTGAGCGTCAAGAATAAAATTGGCTTTCTCGATGGTACTGTTTCTATCCCTGTGAATACTGATCGCAATATTGAGTTTCTGGCTTGGACTCGTGCAAATAATCTGGTGTTGTCATGGCTGTTAAATTCTATATCTAAAGATATCAGACAATCACTGTTATTTTTTACATCTGCTAAAGACGTATGGGAAGAATTGAAAGCTCGTTATGCATTGAGCAGTGGTCCTCGCGTTTTTCAAATTGAGAAATCTTTAAGTACCATGGACCAAGGTTCAATGACAGTCACTCAGTATTACAACTCTTTGAAAACCCTTTGGGACGAGTATCTGTCTTACAGGCCTATCATTCGATGCTCTTGTGGCGCTCTTGCTTCTTGCACTTGCAATATATGATTCTATGGTTAACTGCCAACAATCTGATTCTGTGATCAAATTTTTAATTGGCCTGAATGAGTCTTATGCTGCCTTGAGATCCCACTTTCTTCTTTCAACTCCCCTTCCCACCTTAAACAAGGTTTATTCTCTTCTCCTTCAAGAGGAAAGCCAGAGAGCTTTACATACTACAACCAAATCCCTTGATTCCATGGCCATGGCTGTCAAAACTCACTATCCTCAGAAAACTTACAAACCTCCATTCAAACCAGCTGACAACCCAAACAAACCTTATCCTAAGGACCAAACTAAACCATCTCGCCCTAAATGCCTTCATTGTGGTTATCTTGGTCACACTACTGATAAATGCTATCAACTTGTTGGTTATCCTCCCAACTGGGAAGGTCCTCGGGGAACCAGAATTCATCCTAAACACTCTGCCAACTCTGTGATCTCAACACAGCCTGGTTCTAACACTTTATCTGACTCTTCCATGACTGATCAGCTCTTTCATGATTTCTTAGTTTTTAAAAAGTCATATGAGCAGAACAATTGCAATACTGCACCATCTGTGGACAACCAGACTGCAACAGTCAATGCCTGTGCAACCCAGCCTGGTTCTACAGCAGGTATACCTATTCATGTCTCATTATCTGCTCAATGTGATTTAAATGCTTTTACATGGATCCTGGATACTGGTGCATCTGATCATATGGTTTGTGATAAATCTCTGTTCACTTCCAATATGCATAATATATCCATACCTGTTAACTTACCAAATGGAGAGGTTAC